CTATGTTTTGAAGAGCTGCAATTAGTTGTTCATGTTGCACTCTGTCAAAAGCTTTTTTGTAATCTATAAAACATGCATAAATATTTTCTATATATTTTTCAGTCAGCATCTTTAGACAAATTATGGCCTCTCGAGTACCACTGTTTTTTACGGAATCAAAATTGCTCTTCAGAAACTTCTTTCTCTATTCTATCTTGAATTCTTGCTTGTATTATCTTCAAGAGTAATTTAGATACGTGATTCATTAGGCTAATAGTTCTGTAATCTTCACAATCAACAGCTTTTGATTTCTTGGGTAGTGTGATAAAAACAGATGTTTTCATGTCCCTGGGAATGTACCCATAATTATAAATGTCATTGCATGTTTATGTGATAGTATCAATTCCAAAAGTAGATAATGATTTTAACATTTCTGCAGTTATGTTGTCTGGACCTGCAGCTTTTCCCTGCTACATCTGTTTAATGGCTTTCTCTACTTCAGACTTTAATATGTTTGGTCCCTCTAGAATATTATGGATTGGCGGTTTGTCACCTCTGTTGTCCCAAAACAGGTCTTCTGTGTATTCAGTCCATCTTTTTTGTTATATATTTCTTATCAACAATAATTGTTCCATCCTTCCCCCTAATACAACCATTTCCTGTAAATGTTTTTCCTTGTTTGTAAGTTTTCTTATATTTGCATGTATTTCCTTGGTTCTGTTTTTTTTTTTTTTTTTTTTTTTCAAGATCCTCTATTTCTTTGCATTTTAACTGAATCCATGTTTCCTTAGCAGTTCTACACATATTTCGTATTTCTTTGTGTATTAATGAATATTCTGGAGTGTTTTTTGCTTTCTTCCTTTGTGTCATTTTGTTAATAATTTCCTCAGTCATCCATACTTGATTTGTCTTGTTTTCTTTCACTGGTAAGATGGCATTAGCTGTTTCTATACTAGTTTTGTATTAATTTTGTCCTCTGGATTCTCCCGTCGATATTGTTCCATGCTTTCAACTATTAATCTATCATATTTATTTTTAACCTCCACTAGGTACTGCTGGCTTATTTCTGGTTGTTTCAAAGCTGATATGTCTATGTGGGGTGACCTTTGCGTTTTTATTCCTGCGTTTTTAAGTTCAATTTGTATTTTTATTACCACAGGATTGTGATCTGAATTTATATCCGAACCTGGGTATGTTTTGGCGTTCTTTATGTTGTTTTTGAATCTGTCTCTAATCATTACATAGTCAATTTGGTTTCTATTTATATCTCCTGGACTCTTCCACGTAAACAGTTTTCTAGGTGGATGTTGAAAAAATATATTACAGATAATGAGTTGGTTCTCTTCGCAAAACTGTATCAATCTGTCTCCTCTGTCATTCCTTGATCCCATGCCAAATTGCCCTACAATATGTTTGTGCTTCTTTTTCCCCACTTTTGCATTCAGGTCTCCCATAACTATTTAGACCTCTGGTGATTTTACAACTTTCAGTGTTTGTTGTAGTTCTTCATAATATTCTTCAAGCTGTTCATCACTGTAGTCCTTTGTTGGTGCATATGTCTGAATTATTGCAATATCAAAAAGTCTTGCTTTGATCTTTGATATAATTATGTCATTGTGAGCCCAGAACCCGCTAATAAACTTCTATAAATTTCTTTTTATCAAGAATCCTACTCCACGTTCATGATGTTCTCCTCCAGAATTAATAAATATGTAATCATCTCTCTTTAGGCAGCTAGCTTCTGTCCATCTTGTTTCTGATACTCCCAAAATATCTAAATTCATATTCTTTGCCTCAGAAATTAAACAGTCAAATTTTCCAACTAGATATAACGTTCTAACATTTCATGTGCCAATGCGAAGACATCTCTTTCTACTTTTCAGATATGCGTTGTCAGAATGTACCCTTTCAGAAGAATTTAAGGCGCACTCGTCATTATGCTCTACCTTAGTCAACAGAGGATATGTCTCTTCCCTGTTTGTATTTACAACAGGCATTACTCCAGGGGGCTAAGATGTGCCTGCATCGCTTTTTCTAACTTGTTGTGCTTCCATTACTGTCTTTGGGTTCTACGTGGTAAGGTCCCAATCTTTTCCACGATGGCCAGCCATGTTTTCCTTCGTGACCCAACACGCCTTTTGTGTGCCACACACATTGCTGTGTCGCTTTGCAAGCCGTTCATCTATATAATTAGATTCTTCCGCCTTGCTTACCGTCCCAGTCTTTGTGTACTAGGGATGGACATCTCCCTTAGTAGGATATTACTCCCACTTCACTCATGTAGTTTAGCCAGTCAGCCAAGACTGTTGCCCGTGGTGTGGCCACCGCGACTTGATAATTAGCACACAAAAATCCATGATTTGATTTAAATAGTTCTGTAAACTCTCTTCTGTTTCAGCTATTAGTACTGCAAATTACAATTCTGACATATCATCCTTTTCTTCGCTGTCTGCTTCTTTGCATACATTGTTGATGCATGTTTTACAAATCAGGGAAAAATTTCAACTCAAAAACATGCCAAAATAAAGTATTACTTGTCATGCAGTTACACAGTTTTCGTTTGCCAGCTAATATTCAAAACATAGTTTCTCAAAACAAATTTTGTTGCCCTTAGGTGACTTTCGCATAGTACCATAAGGCACTTGGACCACTTTCGCATAGTACCATAAGGCACTTGGACCACTTTCGCGTAGTACCATGTGGAACTTGGACCACTTTCGCCTAGTACCATGTGGAACTTGGACCACTTTCGCGTAGTAACATGTGGAACTTGGACCACTTTCGCGTAGTACCATGTGGAACTTGGACCACTTTCGCGTAGTACCATGTGGAACTTGGACCACTTTCGCGTAGTACCATGTGGAACTTGGACCACTTTCGCGTAGTACCATGTGGAACTTCGACCACTTGCGCGTAGTACCACGTGGAACTTGGACTACTTTTGCGTAGTACCATGTGGAACTTCGACCACTTTCGCCTACTACAATGTTTCCCAAACTTTTCTTTGTCGCGGCGCCTTTTTTCAATAATTTCTTGTCCACGGTGCCCTAACCTAAGTAAAAGTATGACTATTTGAATGTAAAAGATTTTTTGTTTTTAAATTCTTGCATTTTCAAATATATCTCGGCTCCCTTGTGAAAAAGTCACGGCTCCCAGGAGCGCCGCGACGCCGTTTGTTTTTATGCTTCCCGAATCTTTTAGTTAGTGTCCATAGTTGTTAACACATGAAGTATAGTGCTGGCCAAAAATTAAAAAATTTGTGGTGAAATGTTTTTAACATAATCATCACGATGATGTGGTAATGATAAAGATAACAATAAAAACGACGATGATAATGGTAGCGATAATGACGATACTATTGCAAATGACGATTCAGGTTATGATGATGATTAAAAACAAATCATCATCATCATTATTTAGCAGGTTCTTTGCAGAACGTCGCTCTCATCACGGTCTGCCTGAAAGAAACTCGGTCTCTCGCCAGTTCTCCCGCCTCATGTACTTTCATACTCAAGGAGTCACTTAAATCCTAAGCCCATCTTTGTGTCAGTCGGCCCCTGCCCCCCCCCCCCTTCCTGGTACCATGCCTTCTGCTATAATTTTTTTCCAATCTGTCGTGGCGCCAGATATGACTAAAATATTTCAGCTTTCGAGAAAAGATTTTGTTCTTTAGCCACAGAACTAAATAATTACAACACATAGCATCAGTATTTTTATTGATCTGTTTTTGTTTAATCGTGGATAATTTATTTTACAGAAACTTTCAGGTCATTAAAAAAAAGACCGGAAAACTGGAAAACATCATCATGTGCGAATCATAGTGTTTAAAAGAGATGATAATTAGCCTCTTAAACTGGTAACGTCAGTGCACTCAACATTTCCTACATTTCTTATCGTCTTCTTTATCTTCTTCTTCTTCTTTTTCCTTCTTTAGGGCTCGCCTTTAGAATGTTGATTAGCATTCAATATTAGACTTTGCAGCTTTGCTGCGATTTAGGCTCTTCTCGACTCAACACACTTGTTTCTTGGTTTATCTGTGCAAAGATTCGACGTCACAGTTTTCAAGACAAGCCCATATTAGATCTCTCTCTTTCTCTCTCTCTCTCTCTCTCTCTCTCTCTCTCTCTCTCTCTCTCTCTCTCTCTCTCTCTTTCTGAAACTCTTTGTCTCTCTCTCTGAATCTTTCTCTCCCTCTCTTTCTCTCCTACTGTCTCTGTCTCTCTCTCTGTGTTTGTCTATGTCTCCCTGTCTCTCTCTCCTCTCTCTCTCTCTCTATGTGTCTCTCTCTGTCTCTATATCTCTGTCTCTCTCCCTCTCTGTGTGCCCCTTTATCTGTCTCTATTCTCTCTGTCTGTTTCTCAGTCCCTTTCCCTGACTCTTTTTCTTTCCCTTTTTTCAACATCCATGGAAGAGTCTCCCTACTGATGGTAGCCGCTGTCATCCCTTTCACCTCCAGACACACACACACACACTCACACACACTCACACGCATATATAAATAGGCCCTGAACCCAGACCGTATCAGCTTCTCGCTATATGGTCACTGCGATCACGTCATTTATAGAACTGTCTAGGCCAGACAGGAAGACATAGCCACGGCCTTATCTTGCACGAATATACTTTCCCTTCAGTTCTAGCTCCAGGATATCGTCTCATAACAGTCATTCCCGAATGGTACATAAACTGTGTTGTATAGCCCTAAAATTACCTAATTGTCATGTCTGCGTGGCAGGAGATAAGTCAAAGGTCACTTTTCCGCGCATTTAGGCATATTGTGAACATAGGCCTACACGTTTACTTTTACAGGCCAATTCATGGCAAGAGATAGCAAGTGCAAATTTACAACAACAAAAAATGTGTATCAAAATAAAAATAGATATAATCAAATTTAGACACCCGTGTATGGCAAACGATGTTTCAAATCTTGTGTACAAAACTTTGCTGATAGATATCTCAGAAAAACATCGTCAGTTATGATGATAATTATAATGTTAATAATGATAACTGTAATAATAATAAATCTAATCAGCGACTGAACTGACATAAAAATTGTTGGCTCTAGGATTCACCCTGTCAGCATTCACAGAAAACACCATGTCGTAGGGGTAGGGTAGGTCTGGCCTAGAAACGTCATCCAGTTGTTTCATCTGGCAGATGATGATACAAGAAGTATCAAATATTAGCAATTGTGGAAAAACCATAGAAATCGTTGAGACAACTACCAGACTAAAGCTATGGTTGAGTTAGGAACAGACATCATATTACATGGGATATTTTTAAGTGCTCCGGCCGCCGTCTTAATCACCCAGTAGAGTAAACAGTAAAAGTGAAGACCCCTTTTCGCGCATTTTAGGCGCATCGGACATATGGGAAGAGCACCCATACTTTTATAGATCAATCGGCACTTGGTGGGTAATGTGGTCAGAATTACGCCAGCCGTCTTTACTTCCCCAGGACATACTTCCTGGCATCTATTTTAGGCTGGGTCGACCGGTGACGCCCCAAATGATGATAAAAATCCCCGCAGCCAACAATGGGTTTCGATCGCAGTACGTTCGAATTACTAGTCGAACTCGCAACGCCTAAACCAGGGACGCCGCTCTTCATCACCCAGGACAGTTTCAATGTCCATGGTATTGGTAGCAGTTTGAGTGTATGTCTGTCTTGCTCTTCCACTGACTGTTGAGAGACGGCCAGATCTCCTGGTAAGTCCCGGTGGCACCATTCTGGTTAGACCGTTACTATCTATTTGTGCTTCTCAGCTCTTCACTCTCTTCCAGAAGGTCTGGACCCCATCTGTCTTGTCATGCCTTAGTCTTTAAAAGTCACAATTATATAGATATAAATATTGCTTAGCACTTATAGAAGCTAGTTCGAGGAGTAGATATGTAAGGGCAGTGAGATATTACAAAATCAAACATGGCCGAATTACAATTACAGAATATAATTTGTGTCATTTGAAGTTTGAAAAACAGCTTCTTAAATCTCTAGGTTGTTTTATGGTGTCAAGTGTGCCCTATTGTCTGTATGTACTCCGTTATCTTCCCTTCTTTGATTGCCTAGTTATATGTGTTTATGTATTTCTTTTTTTTTTTTTAATTTGTACATGTATATTCTTCTATTTCTGTGTTATTTCCTAAATGGGCGTTTATCACGTTGTGTTGTGTTTAAAGGCGGGCTACGATTTCTGTGTTTTCAATTCAATTTATCCGATCTAGCAAACCAATGATCTGTCATATTGTTTGACATGCCTGTTAGGATCAATGGGTCTGCTTTTCTATCCAGCTAAAAATGAGGAATCTACTAGCGAAGCGTACATTTCCACGAGTGTGGTTGGGCTATTCACGCACTGAGGTAGCTGCTCGCCTCACAATTTGATATCAAGGGTTCTTTTCACCACAGAGGTTCTTAATTTGCAAGAGCACATTTTTCTTAAATACATCTAGGTATCGTCGCTGGAACAACAGACAATCTAGTAGACAACCAGAAGCTATGTGGGAAAAGGTCAATCCGTATGAGCTGTATGGGGTAACATGTAGTTGTAACTCTTTTAGTCGTTATATAATTTGAATATTACAATAATATCCCAACTATTACTTATGAGTGTAGCGACTAGTCGCTCGCCTGCGGATCTGAAAGTCGAGGGTTCCAGTCCTGACCGAGTCGGATTTTTTCTTTTAAATTAGGAATGACCATGCTCCCAGATCGACCCAGTCTTAAATGAGTACAAGGTAAAGACATTAACAGTAAAGGCGGCTGGCGTGATGTTAACCAAATCACCCACTAATTGCTGATTGGTCTATCAAATGTAGGTCTAGCCCTATACGCCGATTACGTTTGAAAGCTCGACAGGTGCTTTGCTAGAGAAAAAAAAAATCAGCACATTAAACCAGCATCGCCAAAGACGGAGCTCTAGGTTATATTTGTGATAAGGTTATGTGTGCAATATAAAATGGAATTTTACCCCACCAAGAGCCCTGAAGTGGACTCTTGTAGTGTTTATGTAAACAATAGAAAGAGAGTCAAATAGTGTCTACCAGCGAGCTAATGGGCGCCGCGGTCGCCGATGACGCTTTACGATATAGACATGGGCCCCTTTATTAGGAATGAATGCCTAATGATTTACTGACCTCCTCCTTGGTCAAGCTCCAGCCATTAGCGGCCAGCATGTTGTCGTTTAGTTGAGCCAGGGTCTTGACTCCGATGATGACTGATGGAACTATGTCTTTTTGGAGCAACCAACGGAGCGCCACCTGAGGGATGCTACGTCCTGAGGGACAGTAAACGGGAATAGTTTAAAATTCAATGCTTCGTCGCTGAGTTTGCAGAGTACGGATGCACATCAGGGACAATATTATGAGAATTAAAGGAGAGAACTGAGGTCTCCTAACCTAAATACAACAGCATAGTTGTTTGAACATTTCAACAGTTTACACCAAACTGAAAAACATATATTTAAAGCTGGTCATGATTTCTCCACAGCCGTGTGTCTCATGCTATGTCATTACGTTCTGCCATGCCAGTTTGCCCAACGGTTCACCATGCTATCTGGGGTTTTTTTTTTTTTGAAACCTTCTTGGTGGAATGCAGGCAATCTGCTGTTAGTTAGTCTTTCTTCTTTAGCTGGGGTTGGGGGAGGGGGAACTGCGTGGTCTCGAGGCAGTGTGTCCCCCTCGAGTGCTAGAGGTTCCTGGTTCAATCCCATGTAAGGGCTAGGATTTTTTTTACGTGGACTTGGTCTTCTAGTAAATGCCACTGGTCTCTGGGCAGTGAGATCATACGCCAGCGTGCATTGTTGCGCACGTAAAAAATCAGTTGGAATTTGAAAATCGAAAAGGTTACCCTAACGGCGCTGGCCGGGAAAAATTTGGCATTTAAAATCTACCCAAAGTATTTCAGGATCCTCGCCGGTGCTACAAGCCTGTGCAAGGTGCTGAGCTTCTGTGGACTCAAACTTGAGTTAGAAAAAGAACGGATCACCTATGGGTTACTACCGGTTTGCCTTCATGTTAATCCATTGTTTCAGTACCTCAAAATTTCCTCTTGAGCCTAGAGCGGCGCAGAGGGCATAGGGATCATAGGTTTCTATTTCTGACGGTTTGTTGCAGCCTGTTTTCAGTCTTGGATCTTCAATAGACCCATGGTTGAACATTCCCTGATGATGGTTCTACACAGGGTCTGTCTCGGTCCTCCCAGGTTTTTTGTTCCCTTTCGTTGACCACATGAGGGCGTGAGAGGGAAGTCTTGTCTTGTCAATTTTGAGTGCATACCCGGTGTATTTTCAGCTGCGCTTTTTTTTTTAAATTTTATATATTATCTTGTTTGGTCTCTTGTCTTTTTTGACTAGTGAATCTGAAATCTGTCCAGTGGAGATTAAGAATTCTTCAAAGTAATGTGTTCTCAAATGGTTTTCTAATTAGTTGATTTATCTGAAAACATCAGCATCATGTTTTTACCATTATAATGTGTTACTATCATTATTTGTCCGCAGCTACTCCTCTGCACCTTCCACCAACAACTATCTGGTCGTTATCTATCTTAATCACCAGCAGTTACCTCGCTTCTTGGCAATGACTTCCACTGTCTCGATGATGTCGAATGTCTTGTCATCAAAAGTGCTCCAGTGTGGGGCGGCCTGCGAGGGGATGGCGGTGTTTGCAGCCACAGATCCCAGTCTGCCCTCTGTTGGCTTCACTCCACGCTTGACCTTGCCCGTTAGCAAGCCGCTGCCATTGAGAACAAATTAGAAATCACATAATAAACTCAATATGTGGTTTCCAGGGCCCCTTTTTGGGGCAACAAAGAATAGACATTCTTACCCAACAGCACATACAAAGTCATGTAAAAGACAACTAACTGGAGATGTTGCCGTTCAAGCTAGAGCGCATCTTCATGAGAGGTGAGGAAAGAACAGTCTGCATAGAAAAATGTCAGATCTGTAAAACAGATGTGTTCGCAAAACTCAATTTATGGAACATTTCTAAAATCTTGAAGTGGGTGAACAACCGGAACTTTCCGCCGGAGGTTACAGCCTGTTAACCCAAAGAAGAAGAAACTATTATAAATTAGGAACTTCAATGAGGGAATAAGAACGTCATTGGGTGGTTCAGCCATAGTTGTGATCATGATCTGTACAAAGAAATGTCATACGCAGCTGAAATCGAACTCGGCATCCCGGAATTATGAAGCGCATTCGCATTGCCTAAGACGACCACACACACACACACACACACACACACACACACATCACACACACACACACACACACACACACACAGACACACACAAACAAACCACACACCACACCTTTACCAAGGCCAACCAGTGAACAACTCGCTGTACTACGAGTGCAGTGGGGAGTGAAATTAATGTAATATAGGATAAATGTGACACACACAGAAGGGAAATTGAGCGATAAACACAGAAACAACCAAAGTGTTCGTACAATGTCATTATCAACGAAAATTCAATAATTGTCTACAGCAACGACAACAGATGAACAAACTAGACGTGCTGTGAGAAGAGTGGTTGTTCTGGATGCACAGGTTACAAGTAGTGGACAATGTTGTAGATTTTGAGACGTTAAGTGTGTAAGTTTTTTTTTTTTTTTTTAAATTTAATTTAAAAAAGGAAATTTTTTACACATTCAGGTATTTTTGGCATATAGGGCTAGACATATATTTCCCCAACCAATCCCAATTTTGTGGGTGATGAGACAAACATCACAACGGCCGCCTTTATTTCTCAGGACTTTACCTGATACCCATTTAAGGCTGTGTCGACGTGGGAGAAAAAATATTTTTTTGGAAAAGTCCAGCTCTGTTAGGACCTGAAATAAGGACATTCGAACAGCACTCAGCGGTCGCTGAGATAAACCTAAGACCACGAATGACACCATTAGTATTGGAAATCTGCGCTTGCTGCTGAAGGTAGAGACGGAGCACGCATGGGAATGCTCGGAATGCTGTGATGTATTCTTGATTCAACTCAACTCAAATGAGATAATCTAAAGTCGCTTCTCTGGCAAATATTATGTATGGTTTTATGTGCACACACGCACTAGACACGTGCACCAGACACACGCAACACACACATATGTTTTTTAGTTGCGTATCCTTTACAGGGCGTTGCAGAACCAACCCTAGCATTTTTGGCTGCTAAGTATTTTCTGGGCAAATTTTAAGTTCAGTAGTTTGTCCTTGCTGCCTTAACGGTCAGCTCTCGGTAACGCTGTTGAAACCGACGCAAGACAAGTCATACGCAGCTGGGATCGAACTCGGCACCCCGGAATTATGAAGCGTATTCGCAACGCCTAAGATGCCCACACCTACACACACACACCACACACACACAACACTTGACATCCCATATTGTGGTAACGGCTCTGGGCGAAGGAGCCCAATGGGGGAGAATACTAGCCTTATCTTAGGATGAAGCAATGCAATCTAAAAACTGAAATGTATGGCAGACCAGACCAGGCCCCTAGCCTTGGATCACAGCTGGTTTAGGATGGTAGCTCTGGCATGTGGACAGGGAGTACTGCTCTTTTGATTCAGCAGCTTCTACCGCATATTTTGTTTCACATGTAGTGGTGGTACCTTTTTTTTGGGAGTACATAAGGCCTCTCAGCGCTGGATAGTGATACAAGACCAACTCGTGGTTTCTACAATACAGCCTATGCTTTTGTGCTATGGAAAGGAGTAACTTCATCACAGTCTCATACACACACACACACACACACACACACACACTAACACACACGTCCTCATTATCACACATGTAGACACCGGTCAGTGTCAACATGAGACTCACCCTTTGAGCGGACTCCAAGGAAGAACAGCAATACCGGCGCTTTTGCTGACCTGGAACACCTCCAGTTCCGAGTCCCGACTTGCCAGGCTGTATTGTTGCTGCAATCAGGTCACACAGGTTACAAACTCAACAATGAACTGTGTTTGAGTGTGGACGATGTCAACAGGTAATGGTTTCGGATACAATGGTGGCGTGGAAAAAGTAGGGAACTCTTTTCCACAGCGACAGGCTTATTGGGCACATAGAGCAAGGCCTGTATTTTATAGACAAATCGGTACTTCATGGGTGATGGGATTAATATCACTCCTGTCACATTTACTTCACAGAAATATACATAGTGCCCATTTAAGGTGTGACACGGCTGCCTCTTTTACTGCCTATGCTAATTCAATCCAGGTTCACTTGTATTTGTCACAAGGGTGGCTGATGAGGATTATAGACGAGGAGAAAGATGGTCGTGTTGTTAGTGGTGATGATGATGATGATGCCTTGCTCACTGCATGCTTCTCATGTAATACTGAGGCTTACATACGAAACACTTAGGAAACACTTGTCCTTTGTTTTCCTTCACTGTTTTACTTTTATTGTGACAATTTAAAGAAATACAATCGTGAGTTCCTACACCTATTTCCTGATTAACTAGCTCTAGCGTGTAACTGCCACCGGCTCCTAGTGTAGGTGGGGCTAAAAGATTTCTATCTTCTTCTTCTAAAATACATTGGGAGATCTCCAGGAAGTCCGGCCTACATGTTATCTATTGTGCTCCTGATTCTTCTTCTTCTGACTCCGAATCAGTATCAGACCCCGAGTCAGTTATCTACTCCTGAATCCGGTTGGACCCATTGTCGGTGAAAGTAGATGTCGAATTCTCTTACTGTAAAATGATATACACGAGCTATTCCGTCATCGTGTGTGAAAACTATTGTGACTTCTTGAAATTGGCCACGGTTCCTGACAGTAATTCTAATAGGCGAACATCCGTAATTTTCTTTTCTATATCTAGCTAACTATACTATCAAATCCACCTGCCCTCAAGCCTGACTTCCTTCCCTGGTTTAGCTGGCCGGTGCTTGTCTTCTGTCCTCTCCTCTCTCTCAAAGGTTCCGGGCAATCGTTTATAAAGGGGTTACTAGCCTGCCCCTAGGGGGCTCCCATCCACGTTGTATTGCAGATTCTGCAGCGACTAGCTGGCCGGGTTAGTGGAAAAATTTTAATTAATCATTGTTTGGTGTGAACGGGGAGAATCACGCGATGACCAGACTGACGACTAGAAGTACGTGGGAAACAAGAGTAGGGACCTAGGGGGGATATATTTATTTGTTAAGCACAGTGGAAAAGTTCCAAAAATAAGGGTGACGGCCATAAGTGGTCTTGTCGTGCAAACAGCACAACACTAAAAGGCGGTATAAGTAATGACTTTGTTACAAAGGATGGTCAACAAAGGGGGAAAAAAAGCTGGCCAGCATCTAGCTACTACACTACAGGCGCTCCCAATCGCCTTGTGCCACATATTTATTAAGAGGCAGTGGCTCTATTTCTCTAAGCCAAAATTAAGCACAGGAACCCGCATGGTGGAAGAGCTAGGAAAGATTGTATAACTGAAAGAAAACAAAAATAAATAGCATGAAATTTTGATGAGTTATAGTGGCTGGTATTGTTGTTGTTTTTTGCCAAAGAACACGATAAATAACAATAACGACAAGAAGAGACAGACCAAGAACAAGAACAGGATGAATAACAATAACGACAAAGAAGAGACAGACCATGAACAAGAACACGGCAGACAATTAACAGGATCGCCAGCAGATGAATATAAGAATCAGAGCTAGAGTAACCAGAGATGATTCGCAGTACACGAGACAGAGGGTTGTGGGACGACATGACTACCAACGCCACACGATGTGCAATTTAAAAAGAAGAAGAAGAACCACACACACACACAGACACACACACACACACACACACACACACACCCACACACACACACACCCACCCACCCAACCACCCACCCCCACGCACACACACACACACACACAACCAAAACGAAACGAAACAAACAATCAGGAAAAAGGAAGACAAACAGCCTAGCTCTCAGAAGGAAATCAAACAGGGACGATGATTAATTAATGCAGACCAGTCTGTCAAAATATAAAAAAAGGACTACTAGAAGTGAAGAACACCACAAAAAAGCAAACAAATGGCAGTTCACAAATGAACAATTCCGCTCACCTGTAGACTAACTATAGAGTTGAGGCCGTATCGCTCAGAGGTGTCCACGATTTTCTGAAGCTGCCACCCAGTGACGTTACTGAGTCCCACATAACGGACTTTACCTACACGGACTAGGTCATCTACTGCCCTTAGGGTTTCCTCTATCGGGGTCCCGTCGTCCCAGGCGTGGATCTGCAGGATGGATTGCAAAAATAATACTTTAAAACCCCACATAGCTATTGAAAGAAACATAATTGTGTCATAATTTTTAGAGTAAAAAAACAATTATCATTTGCGTCATTATGATCATTTTAACATCATCATTTTAACCGCGTCCTCGTTCTTTCATCATAAACGTTACCGGTAACATCGTTATTATTATCCTCATTATTATCGACATTATCATCACTTTTGACACCATCATTTTCACAACCATCATCAAAATCGACATCTTCCCTGTCAAACCACCGTGTGGGTTCTGGGGCCCGATTATGGAGAAAAGAAGAGTAGACACACTGCCTCGACAATAAAATTATCGTGATAATCGAATATCTGGAGGCTTTTTTTCCCCAAAGTCGGATTGAATCTTCCTGAGAGGCAAGGAACCAGTAGTCTGCATACAGATATACCAGATCTGTAAAGCGGATGTGCACGCCAAACCGTTTCTATAACAAAGACCAGAAGTGGACGAGCAACTAGAACTTTCGGCCGGAGTTCACAGCCGGTAAATGCGAAGAAGAAGGACATTATCATTTGCATCAAAGTTATTTTTTTAAAAACCCGTCACAGTCAATATCGTTTAATCTTTATAACAAAAGAGCAATTTATGGCACAAGGGTGGTAACCCATAAATGCTCCACCCTACTTGTAACTCAAGAGTCCGGAGAATCTCAGCGCAGTGCACGAACTCCGTTGCACCGGCGAGGATCATGAAATACTTTGAATAGATTTTTAAATTCAAATATTGTCCCAGCAGCACATTTAGATTTCTCGTTTTGATTTCCAACTGCGAATGGATTTTTTTCCTGCGTAACAATACACACGGGCGTCCATTCTTACTGCCCAGAGACCAGTGGAAATCACTAGAAGTTCACATGAAAAAAATCCTAGCCTTCACGGGGGCTTGAACCCGGGACCTCCAGAACTCGAGACTGACCCATGAATCGAGACTATTCAGTCCGCAATATATTTAACATCCTCCAGATGATAGACATTATCAACACCAGTATTATCAACAACCTGCGCGGATTGGAGAATAGCCTAAGATTAATTAGGGACACAAAGAGATGAATAGGGGACTAGTGTGAATGCAGGACACCTTGATATAAAAGCTGGGATGAATCAGGTGATGGCAGTTCTGACTTGATAGCAAACGGACCATAACACAATTGTTCCATTCCTGTGCCCAAGAAAACCACACAGAGCATTTTGAGATAAATGCAACACAATTTGAAATAAATGCAGAAAACCTTGACATGAATGTCGGTAAAAAAGCATCTGTACCTTGTATATATCAAACAACAAAAATTAAATTTATGTGATAGATCTTAAAAGCACCAAGAAGTAAAGGATCCGAAACGAAAAAATTTAGAAAACAAATGTAGACCAAACTATTGCTAAACTACGTCAAGAGACAACACATCAAAGGGGTTTGACATTTATCCGGATTGCCACAGGACATTGCACAAAAGAGAACCCCGTCAGTTAGGTACAATGAAAGCAGAGGTAGATATCACCAACGCAAGCGATGGATAGATGGAAAGCGTGTGGCGTTGAATATCACCATCCAAGCAGCACCCCTGTGTATCTTCTAAACCTGTTACTGAAAGAACACAGACTAGAAAACAAAAGGACAAAGCTAGAGAAATGACCACCTGGTAGAGATCGACATAGTCTGTGCGAAGTCTTTTCAAGCTGTTGTCGATGCTGGCGGTGATGTGTCGACGACTCAGTCCTACGTTGTTGACGTTCTGCTCTGTGCCCATGTTTCCTCGAACTTTGGTGGCGATCACAAACATGTCTCTGGGTTGTCTGTCGATTACAAAATAATTATACAGACGTGTCAGCGAGCAGGGCACTAGGACATAAACGGACCAATCTCCACAAGTTCAGGCGTATTGAGCATATAGGGCTAGACCTATATTTTTACAGACCAATCGGCACTCTGTGGGTGATGTGGTCGGTGTCACACCGGCCGCCTTTGTTTCCCACCATTATACTTGGTACCCATTTAAAGTTCGGTCAAACTGGGAACAACAGTGCCTCTCTGGTAACAATGAGTCGGAAAAAAATGGTTCACTTTCTATACACTTTTTTAATACACGCCCTCCTACAACTCACCCATATTTTCAATCATGGCAACAGACTTCTCTTAAAAGCTAAGTTTTGTGCATTCTTTTAGGTATTTGAATAATTGTTTGTAGAATATATATGCTAATGAAAGTTTTGTAGTCGCAACGTTCACTGTAAATTCCTGATTGTGTTTTATTTCTCATTTATATTTTACACCCATGAAACTCGAAGCACCTTTTCCGCTTCGATGCTATTAGATGTTTAAAGAAAACAAGGAGAGATGTGTATCAAGTTGCACATTCAATACATAGCTGTTATCTCGGAATAAAAAATCCAAAACAAAATGAAATAAATCATCTCTGAGATCTTAGATATGATATAATACAGAAGAGTGCTGACAAGTCATTGCATGGCTAACGTTACTAATGGTACATATTAGGAAGGCACTTTTTTGCACCATCGCGTAATTTTTCTCCATTAACGTAACAACTTCTTCATACATGGCCTTAAGTGCCAAGGCAAGATCTCAAACACTGCAGTATTGGAAGGAGCAGGTACCACAATTGTTATCTTAATGATTAGTTTTTTAGCGGCTCAGATGGCTGGGCCATACTTAGAGAATCGAGAGTGGTAGAGTTCCCAAGGACATACTCTGTCGAGCCATGCATCAACTACGACACAAAGATGTGTGCAAGTGGGACACAAATGATACAGTTATTGAGGTAAATTCGTGGAAATACAATGCCATGGTCTGTGTTGAGTGGAGGGAGAAAATCAGGAAAGTAATAGAAACAAAAGGGTAAACAATTGCAGAGAAGTTGAGAGCTGAGTGTTTGAGAAGACTCACACTAAACACATGTAATGGCAACAATGGTCTTGAAATCCGATGCTCGAATTGTGGAAGACTTTTCTCTAAACGCGCGCGGGTCTTCTGATTTACTGATTTAAGAATCGACATCAAAGCGCACCAGGCATACCCGTAGATCTTCTGTCTCCGGCAGCAAATGACGTAAGGTGTAGATACCAACTGTTCCCGTAGAACACTGATCATACACACGCCGATCTTTTCCTCTCATCTGCCCCTCATTGTCGGATCCACAGTCAGTTCCTCGTTCACACATGCTTGCCCATGTTATGTCGTCTACTCTCATGTCTTCTGCCAAAAGTCGTTCATATATGGTCTTTAGAATATCTCTCTTGTCCAATACGAGTGTTTCCGTAGGTTTCGCTTTTGTAGCCAGAAAATCTGCTCTTACATTCGCATTCTAGTCACACACACCCTCGCCGTGGACTATGACTCCCATTCCTCCTCATAGCACAATATAACAATATCGTCTGGAAAGAATAAAAGCTGCAAACAACAAAATCATCTTCTTTAAAAGATACAAAAGCTTTAAGGCATGCCTGGTTTTCCCCTAATTGCAACCATCCTCGGCATCCTCAGGGATAAAACACTCACCTCTCTAGCCATGTGCCTATGATAGATTCTGACTTCCCTAGAGAATAGATGTCAGCGGTGTCCAGAAAGTTGCCTCCCCACTCCACGTACCGGTTGATGATCTGGTGTGAGGCTACTTCGTTGGTGTGCTCTGGCCATCCCCACTACAGGTTCAACGAAATAGTTACTGACATGGATTAGCTGTGAGCATAAAATAGGTCGATTTTGAGCAAATTGTTTATAAATTCTGATTATTTAATTAAATACTAAGAATATTATAAGCTGGATTACTTGATTTCAAAGAACATCAAAGAATCAGATTATTTTGTCATCTGGTCATAATAGCTAGCTTCTTAAACGTATTACATGGAACAGCAGGCTGCACTGCGAGAGGCCCATCGAGAGAGAAATGGGTAGAAAACTTAAATAAACACTACAGAAAGGCAGCAGGGCATACCAGACACAGCAGCATCAAGGATCTTCTTAATGGAATGTGTCCTTGAAACAAATGAACATTTAACTGTGAAGACAAATTAACGCCTTGCCCATAAGTTAGTATTGCACATAACGCTAGGCCTGAGGTGGGATTGGGGTAGGGGTGGGGTTTGCAGCCCTTACATCACTCTAAGGCCAATATAGCTCAAACTGGACATGAAAAAAGGGGCAGGAAAGGGGGAGGGGGGGGGGGGGTTAACAACATTGAATTTCTGATGTTTGCTTTGACACTGGTATCCATTTAAAGAGCATTCATTTCTGTATAATCCAGCTGTTAAATTGTATGTATTAGGATGTGTAGTGTTTTTAAGATATGAATTTGTATAGGTGACAAGGGTCCTGTCCTAGTAAAACTCAGCGGCCCTATATGATGGTAATGATGATGATGATAATGAGCAAACAACAACAACAAAAAAGACGATGAGGATAATGGTGGTGATGATGATGGTAGTAGAGGCGCTATTGCTGATTATGATGTTGTATGTGTATTATATGACTTATTTATAAAGTACTTACAGCCTCGTCGCCGAACGTCCCACACCCGAGACTGATGTTTGACACCTTGATTCCGGAGCGACCCAGGAAGTTGTAGGCCACTTTATGTTCTTCGGGGATTGGTGTGGTCATGGTTGGCGATTACTTCAAGGAAAGCAAGAAATGACATCATCAGTGTGAGTTCATTCTTGGCCTGAGCAATATCAAATTGCCTAACCCGCATATATTATGGTCAAGTTAGCTTATTCTGAAACTGTACCTGAGCCTATATTATTGAATGCTTAGGCCGCAAATATTGTGGTCAAGGTAGCTTATTCTGAAACTGTTCCTAAGACTATATTATTGAAAGTTTAGCAATATTCAGATAAGAGGTTTTATGGTGGTGCGACGTGCACACAGGTCCTTTATATGCTTCTTTTTTTTTTCCTTTCGGCGTTCACCGGCAGGTGAAATGTTCTGGTTGTTCTTCCACTTCTGGATCATTGTCTCTTTCTAGGGGTAGCGTGCTCTCGAGGCATTGTGTCCGTCTCGAGTGCTAGAGGTTCCGGGTTCAATCTTCGGTGAGGGTTGGGATATTTTTACGTGGACTTAAATTTCTAGTGATTCCCCCTGGTCTCTGGGTAGTAAGATCGGAAGCCCGTGTGCATTGTCGCGCATGCAAAAAAATCCCTTGGCAGTTGGAATTCGAAAATAGCCCAGCGGCCCTGCCTAGGCAAAATTAGGAGTTAAAAAATCTACCTAAATTATTTCAGAATCCTGGCAGGTGCAATATAGCCTGTGCACTGTGCTGAGCTTCTTCTGACTCAGACTTGAGTTAGAAAAAGAACGGAGCACTTATGGGAAACTACCTGTGTGCCATGATGTTGATCCGTTGTTTACAGCCTCAAAACCTCTGTCTCGTTCCAGGACTCGAGATTTATGCGCCACACCCGTTTTACAGATGTAGCTTACTTGTTGATTCACTTCTTCTTCTTCTTCTTTAGTTCGCCTGAAATAAGTTATCTATATCATCAATTTTGTCTCTTGTATAAATTTCACTGTTGTTGTTAATTATTCAGTGGTCCATAGAGTTTGCGTTCCACTGTTGTTCCTTCTTACCAAAAGGTTTTACCTAATGTGTCAAATTCGGTGCAGTCCTGGAGTACATGCTCTGCTGTCTGGGGCACCTTTCCACAGGTGCACATGGCTGAGACACCTATCTTGAATTTAGCGTACATGTGGTTACGTAATCTGTTATGCCCTGTTCTGAGGCGAAGGATAACTGACTAGTTCTGGTCTGTCCATAAGATTATAGTCGTCTTATGCTGGGGCTGGTGGTTTTCTGATCGAGTTAATAATTCTTTTCTTTTGGTGGTATGTGACTGGTACATCCGGCTGCACTTTTTCGTCGCAATTTTCCCTGCCAGTTGATCAACTTTCTCATTTCCAGGCATTCCACAATGAGACGGTATCCACTGCATTACGACTTTTCGCTGAAGGCCGAGTTGTGTCAGTAGTGTTTTTGCAATTCTGGGTACTTTCCTAGACTGGAGTGCTTCAAGTACGGATTTAGCATCTGTCAGCATTACCACATACTGAGAGCCAAGATTGGTATTTAGCAGTTTCTCTGTTGCTATCTTGATAGCTTAAGTTTCTGCATCATAGTTATGGCAGTAGTTCCCGGTTGGTACGCTGGACTTATCCCTAGTACCATTTGGGAATTCTATGTACACTCTAGCACTACCATTTCTAACTGCACTTTGTGCGGACCCATCTGTATAGACTCTGACCCATTGTTCCTTGGGTATTCTTCATCAAAATAACTGAGGGTGGCCATTCTGTGTTGAACACTATCTTGCTCTTTCTTGTCAAATATCGCTTTCACATTTGTCTGGATTTGTACTGTTAGTTTGCATTTTTCTCTCCATGTGGTTTGTTCCGGAATACTTTTAAGTGGGCAACAAATTTCTGGAAGGTTAGTAGTTTGTCTACACATTCTTGTTTGCTTGGTGTATGAAGCTGCTTCTTTTTAACCGTCCCAAGGCTAGGTTCTGAAATCTATTTTTTATCGGGTGATCTGGCATACTGAGGAACTTTTCAGCTTGTATTTGCAACTTTGTATCTCTTAAGTGTTGCTTGTCAATTCCTTGTGTTAAAAAAAAAAAAATTTTTTTTTTCCCTGCATTTGAATATAAATGTTACAGACAGGTTCTAAAGAATATCTTGGGTAAAGAAAAGAACAAATGCATCCATACTTCAAGAGCTTAATATTGAAGAGGGTTGGCTAGTAAAGACAATAAAACAAAGAAAATTTAAATATTTTGGTCACTTGAAACGTCATGGAAGTCTAGAGAGAACAATAATGGAGGGGTATATGCCTGGGAAGAGAGGAAGAGGAAGGCCAAGGAGAAGATGGGTGCAGGATGTGGCAGATGATCTCCAGATGGGTGTATCAGACGCAGGACATCTTGCTCAGGATAGGAAGGTTTTCCAGAGGGTTGTTATGGCAGCGAGGTTCCGCGAGGGACATGCTACTGAATGAATGAATTTCCTTTAGACGCCCTGGTGCTTTTACATCAGACATGTTTAGGTAAAGTCTCTTTGTTGGTTATGAGCCGCTCATCTTAGATTACATAATTTTGAACGAACTAGAATGTGTGCCGCTCAGGGAAGTCAGTTAGTTGTGTATTCTTCACAGGACATTGCAGAACCGACCCCAGTATTTGTTGGTTGTTTTGTGGTTTTTTCTAGGCAAATTTACGTCCAGTAGTTTGACATTTTGACTCTGTCACCGATCTAAAGAAAACTTTAAAGTTAGGAACATGGAATGTTAGGAGCATGTATCAGGGAAAACTTGGCATCGTTGGCAATGAATTAGAAAGGAATAAAATAGATATACTGGGAATTTCTGAACATAGGTGGGCGGGTCAAGGCCATTTTGTGACTCAAACAGGAGATACATATGTTTATGCAGGGAAGGAAAAGAGTGGTTTGAGCGGGGTGGGTTTTCTGATGACAAGAACAGTTTCTTCATCACTTCTTGGATATAATCCGATCAGCGACCGAATTCTAACTGTCAGACTCAAGTCAAGGAAAAGAAACATCACAATTATTCAAGTCTATGCCCCAACAGCTGCATCAGAGGAAGATGAAATTCAAAACTTTTATGACAGTTTAGAAGACACATTAGAAACGGTAGAAAAAAGAGATATTATAATCATCATGGGGGATTTTAATACAAAAATTGGGGGAGGTAGAATAGAGGAAGAGGAAATAGTCAGAGGCCCATTTGGCAAATGAGACAGAAACGAGAGTGGGGAGAGACTGATCGAATTCTGTATAGAAAAGAATATGTGTATTACCAACACACTATTTAAACAACACCCAAGAAGGCTCTACACCTGGACTTCACCTGATGGAAATAGCAGGAACCAAATTGATAACAAACAGTTTATTATAAATACCTGTAATAGAATTGAACAACTCCAGATGAAAGGAAGAGATAGATACATGTTTAAAGAAATTAAAACTTTGAAAGGCGAACTCATGCCTTCTTTTCATGTAATAAGTGATTAATATGGTAACACATTAACGGAAACCAAAGACATATTAGAAAGATGGAAAGAATACTGTAGAGAAATGTATGAGGATGTGACAAGTAATTCAAAAACGACTTGTGAAAGTTATGAAAAAGAACCAGAGCCATTACTGGATGAGGTACGATCGGCAATACACAGCCTGAAGAAAGGGAAGTCACCAGGTTGCGACGAAATACCAGCAGAACTACTTCAAGCAGGAGGAGAGGCCAGTGTCCGAATCTACCATGCACTGTGCTCGAAGATCTGAAACAGTGGCATTTGGCCTAAAGCGTGGAAAAGAACAGTTTATATTCCCCTCCCAAAGAAAGGAAATCTGAAACTATGCTCCAACTACCGTACCATCGCATTAATAAGTCATCCTAGCAAAATTCTTTTACGAATTATCATGAAATGGATTGAAAGGAAACTACAATATGAGCTAGTTGAAGCACAAGCGGGTTTCAGACAGGGTAGAGGAACTAGGGATCAAATCTTTAATATGAGAATTATTTTTGAAAAATGCAGAGAGTACAACAAAGATCTTCAT